CTCTGTGGCATCTCAGGCCTCCCGTGTCGTTCCCGCCAGTTTCCCGATTTGGCCTTCTCTCTCTCTACTGCCCCCGCCAATCCCCCTCAACCTTCCATTCCGTTGTTGCCTCTCCCGCGTCCTCCCCTTGGCGCTCTTGCTCCCGCGTTTGCCGGCGGATTTCCCACTGCTGAATTTTCGGCTCGTTTCCATAGTATGCTTTGGCGCCTGGTGCCGACCCGTCATGGCGGGTTTTCCACTGCCTCTAGCTCTTCCTCGTCCTCTGCCACGACATCTTCTACCACGGGTGCCTGCTAGTCCACGTCGTCGTTCTGCCCATCGGCCTCGACTTGGTCCCTTATTGATGATGGGCAAGCACCGGCCCCCACCACAACAGGTGGTTGTAACAAGGTCTCCTGCTGAGCCCATCCCACAAGATGCCCAGGGCGGCCAGGTGCCAGCCCTGCTCCGAGCCGCTGCCAATTTGGTCGAAGCCAAGGCGGGGGGCGGTTCTTTGCATTTGTTTCACGGTTGGTCTGGTGTACGGGACCCGGTCTACCGCTTTCCCCCTGGGCGAACTCATCCCTATCTCCAAACCCGCAGGCAGTCATACCGCCGCCAGAGTCATACCCGCCATCAGCCGTTCGGACAGCGGGGGTCACTCCGCTCGTCCCTGCGTTCTCCGCAGCTGTCGCCTTTGGCGCACGAGTCGCTGCAGCTACTGTAGTGTCGGAAACCTCCTTGCTCCCCTCAGGCTCACTCCTCGCCCCCCTCCTTTACCGTTGTTCCTGCCCTTCGTGCACCTCCCCTCTGTCTGCCCCTTCTTATCTCACCTCCTCTCTTGCTGTCCCTTGGCGCTCTCCCACCTTGCTTACCTTGCCTCTCCCTAACTGCCCCCTCCCTTCTATCTTGGTGCAGTTCCTCTACCCCACTTTCTGTTTACCCTTGTCTTTGGTCTGTGAGACCTTTCCTTTCCTAACCCATCTGGACTGCGGATGTGGCTTCGCTATGAGACTGCTTATCTTCAGAAGAAATCACAGAATATTGCAAAAACAAACACGCAGTAGCAGTCCCATGGCCCAAGAGCCTCTTTTAGTGTTCCCACCCTTCCCTAGCTAAGCATGGCTGCCAACAGATGAGTGCTAACAGCTTAGCTTTGCCATCCTTGCAGCTATCCTGCCTCCCTCCAGCTGGCGGGTGTGACTTCCAGCTCCCCTGGACTCGGTGTCTGCACACAAACAAGAAACAAACACATGCACCCCAGCAACCCCCATCCACCATCCCTCCGCCACGTAAGCTCGCCATCCCCCCCCAAGGCCAGCCGCAGGTTCATCCCAACCTTCACCCGCTGCCCGCCAACGCCGAGTTGCCCACCCCACCCTGCTGTCGCTTTCGCACCCCGTTTTCCGCAGCCTCGACTATGTACAAACGTACACCCCGACTCTTCCCTGCCTTTCTACACCCCCCCTGTCAGTGATCTTTAGGAATACCCTCAAGAACTCTGACAGCTGTCGGAAACCTCCTTGCTCCCCTCAGGCTCACTCCCCGCCCCCCTCCTTTACCGTTGTTCCTGCCCTTCGTGCACCTCCCCTCTGTCTGCCCCTTCTTGTCTCACCTCCTCTCTTGCTGTCCCTTGGAACTCTCCCACCTTGCTTACCTTGCCTCTCCCTGACTGCCCCCTCCCTTCTTTCTCGGTGCAGTTCCTCTACCCCACTTTCTGTTTACCCTTGTCTTTGCTCACTTCCTTCTCAGCCCCTTCCTGCCCCCTCCCATGACGCATCGCCGCCGCCCTCGCCCGCGTCATGGGACCTGAGGGGCTTCCCTTGCCTTTCTCCGAGCGAATCCTCGCCACATTGGTCACGTGATCCGCCACTCGCTTGCCCTTACCATCCTCCAGTACGATCATCCCTGACGGTTTGACTTCCTTGACCGTCCATCGTTGCTGTGATAGCCCCACATTCAGCGCGTGTTGTCGCTGCCGCCTCAGGTACACTTCCTCCCCTTCCTGCATCCCTGCTTCCCCCTTCCTTCCGACCCTCTCTTGCCGCTGCTTATATCTTTCGATGTCCCGCAGCTGTGCTACATGCAGATTCTCCATGGCAGTGGGCAGTAGCCGCCGCAAGTATGCCGCACGCGCGTCGGCTACTGCAACCCACTTTTCCGCCGACCCCGTGGTCACCACGTCCAAGAGGAGCCTTGGCGCTTCCACGGGCATCACCGGCTCCTTGCCAAACAGCAGATAGTACGGCGACACGTCCTTGAGTGCCGCTTGCTTGCTGAATCGGTACCCCGCCATCACCCAGCAGAGCTTCTTATCCCAATCCCGCTTATGCTCCTCCCCGTAGGCCCTCAGTCCCTTCTTCACCGTCTGCACCAGTCTCTCGGTCAAACCGTCGCTCTGTGGATGATAGCGCGACGTGCTGCGGTGCCTGATCCCTGTTGCCTTGAGCAGCTCATCGAACGCCCCTTTGAATTCTGTGCCTTGGTCCGTCAGCACCTCCCCGCATGCCCCCAGTCGCGTGACCACCATCTCCTCAAACGCTTCTGCCACTGCCTCTGCCGTCTTGTGCACCAGGGGTTTGGCTTTCGCCCATTTGCTTACGTGCTCTACCATCAGTAGTATGTAGCGCCTTCCCTTCGTGCTGACTGGAAGCTCCCCCGCGATGTCCAGTGACCACCTGTAGCCCAAGCTTACCACGGGTAACGGCTGCAATTCTGCTTTCTCCCGTTCCAGCACCGCCCTGTTCCGGCAGCATGCCTCGCATTTCCACACCCAATCCTTAACCTGCTTGCGCATACCTGCCCACCACCATCCTGTTTGCACCAGCTGCTGCGTTCTCAGTGGCCCATAGTGCCCCAGCTTCTCATGCACCTCTTTGATGATGCCCTCTCTCTCCTCTGGGGCGGGCACGTGCTTCCATCCTTCTCCAGTCCTTAGCTGCACTTGTCCTTTGAACCAGCGGTAGTACTCGCCTTGTGCTCTCACTCTTGCCGTGACCGCTCCCTCCTCTGTGGTTGCCCCCTGAATCCATGCTAGGGCTGCCTTATTTTCCCATATGTCTGCTGGCCCACCTCGCACTTCTCCCCACTGCCTCCCTCGATCTGCTTCCTTTGCTAGTGCCATCAGGCACGCTGAGGGCTGCACCACCGGTGGATTCCTCGAGAGCCCGTCGACGTGCTGCATGGTCTTCCCGGGCCTGTGCTTGATCTCGAAGTCGTACTCTTGGAGCTTCATCGCCCACCGCGCGTTCCGGCCTGTCAGATCCGGCGTCTGCATGAGCCATAGCAGTGGCTGGTGGTCAGTCACCAAGGTGAACTTTCTCCCGTGTAGGTACACTCGAAAGTGTTTTACTGCCCACACTACCGCTAACCCCTCTCCTTCGTATGACGAGTAGTTGGCTTCTGCCGCATTGTAGCTGCTGCTTGCGAAGGCGACTACTTTCTCCACCCCCCCCTTCATCTGCGCCAGGACTGCGCCCATGCCCGCGCTGCTCCAATCAGTGTAGAGCACGTAAGGTAGATCCGCCCTAGGCAGCTCCAGCACTGCCCCATTCTTTACGGCGCCCATGAGGTCCTGCACGGCCCTCTCTTGGTCTGGACCCCACTCCAACTTGCGATCCTCCCGCAGCAGCTGATTCAGTGCTTGTGCTCGACTGCTGAAGTTTGGTACAAACTTCCTGTAGTAGTTGAGGAAGCCTAGCAGTGTGCGTAGCGTACTCCTGTCCTTCGGTGTTGACACGCGATCCAGCACTTCCACTTTCGCCTTCTGTATGCCGATCCTCCCCCCTTCCACTTCAAATCCTAGGTACGCCACCGTGCTCTGGCCGAACTTGCATTTCCCTGGGTGGCAGGTCATCCCGGCATTCTGTATCGCACTCAGGACCGCCTCGACGTCCTTCACATGTGAGCTGCTGTCCGTGCTGAACACGATCACGTCGTCGATATAGCAGGCGGTGTTCGGCACGTTCCGCAGGATCTGGTCCATGATGCGCTGGAATTCCGGCGAGGCCGATTTCTGTGAGGATCTAGGATCGAGCTCAGAAAAGATGATTTGAATTGAATGATCACCTGGGTACAACACGAGGCTATATATAGGCTCGACACAAGGCCCCGTAACCAGGTGTTACGCGAAGGTTCCGCGGGTCGCGAAGCGTCCCGAACAGATCCTTCCCGAATTCGGTAGAAGGCAATTCGGTGGCAACCGAAAAGCCAGAATTCGGTGCACGCAACCTAGCTCGGTGCTATAACTATAATAAAATATAGGAAAGCACCTAGCCTAGGAAATCAAGCAATTCATGCATGCATATAATGATCCTATGCTAGAAATAGCATGATAAAGTAAAGGCAAGCAAGCATAGCTGGCATAAGCCGTCGTACTCTCACAATTTCAGTCCAAATGGCAACGTGTACCACTCATATTGCCCGTCCGGCCCGTGGAAGGCGGTTTTCTTCCGGTCCGCTTCTACGATGGGTATTTGGTTGAACCCCTGCCGCAGATCCAGAGTGGAGAAGACCACTGCTACCGCTAGCTTGTCAAACAGCTCGTCCGGCGTGGGCGTCTGGTACCGCTTCATCACCGTGACCTTGTTTAGCCCGTGGTAGTCCCCACACATTCGCTTTGACAGCACTTGCCCTGTGAGGTCTGTCCTGGCAGCTACCACCGTGGCTGCTGCGTGCTCAGAGTTGGATTTCCGTATGAACCTGGCTTCCATCAGCTCTTGGCATTTTTCTGTGCAGATCTGTATCTCTTCTGCTGTCATCCTCCGCCGCCGTTGGTACACCGGAATCTCTGTGATCAGCTCGATGCTGACTTCCGCCATGTTGCACCTGCCCACCTCCTTCAGTGTGTAAGCGAACGCCGGCCGATGCTTCGCCAGCACCTTCCTCAGTTCTGCCGCGTCCTCCTCGGTGACGCCATCGCCGATCTCCCACTGCTGCTCTGCTGCCGCTGATGCTGGTGGCTGCTTCTCCCTCATCCCCCGCGCTGACCCTTCTATCTTGACTGGCTCCGTCTGCAGGCCCTATGCCTTCTCCTCTACGTGCCCTCCCTGAGTTTTCGTCTCCACCCCTTCCTCCTTCGTTGCCGCCATCAGCGCGAATTCTCTTGACCCGAACTCTCGCTCGTAACTCTCCCTTCGCCGCTGCCTCTCGATGGCCTCCTCCACCCAGTCCAAGTCCTCCCGCTTCTTGTCCACGGCGGCCTCTTCCCGTGCTGCTGGCAGCCAGATCTGTGTCTGTTCTGCATACAAACCTCGTCCTCCTCTTCCCACGGATACACCCACCTCCTCTCCAGCGGATGCCCCAACTGGTGCTGGACCATGTCGTTCTCGTGCATCTCTCACAGCATGGCCCTGGCCAGTGCCTCTTTAGCTGTCGAGCGCTCCGTGGGTGGTTGCACTGCCGCCGCCTTATCCCGCTTTCGTTCCCACCGAAGCTGTGAGTGATACATTCGGATCGTCGCCATCGGCCAGTGCATGACGTTCAGGTCCATGGCTCTCCCCAGCGCGCGCCTTTGTTCAGCCTCCGTCACCTCTGGATGTGCGGTCGCATCTTCCATAAACCCCATAGCCAACTCCCGCTCCAGCGCTGTCGGTTCTTGCCACTCTCCCGCCGTACAGTCGTATACTAGCCCTGGCCCCGGGTCTTCACCGTGCATCTTGAAGGCCGCTGCCCCCTCGTATGACACGAACGTGGGCCAAGCCTGCCGTGGCTTCCCCACCTCATTGCATGCGAACTGCGTCGGGTGATCCGGCTGCGTCACTGGTGCGGGCATCCTTCCTGCTTCAAGGATGTCTTCCACCAGCAAGGGCACTGGGCGTTCCATCAGCGATAAGCGGTATTGCAGTGCCGCATTCGTTACTCCATTCGTCCAGTAGCGGCGCACCCTGTGTGTCCTGCTGCCCGCCTGCGCCCCATCCACTACAATCCCCGGGCCCAGTACCCCTGTCACTTCCTCGTGCGCCACTTGGATCTGTTCCCGCACATCCCCCTCCATGTTCACGTTCTCCACGATGTAGAGCACTTCTCCTTGCACTCGCTTGATGAGCCGTAGCACCCGTACTAGCTCCCTGACGAGGCTGCTCCTTTCGTCCCTCATACCTCTGCCTGCCCCTGCACGCGAGTATCCCTGACACTCCCAGCCAGCAACAACCACGTCAATCTTTCCCCTTCCCCGGATGGTCTGTTCCGTTATCAAGCGGATCTCGTAGGCCTGAGTGCTCGCGCTCTGTTCCAACGCCAGGGCCGTCAGCTGGTGCGGGTATCTCTTTTGCAGCCGCTCAGCATGATTCCATGCCATCTTCACCGACTCCATGTCTGATTCCACGAGTATCCACTTCTCCACGTAGGCCCCCGCCTTCAGGAGTGCTGCCAACCCCGTGCCAATGCCGCCGAAGAGCTCCAACACTACCGTGGGGCCAAGCAGCTTCTTGGTGTCCGTGCACAGCCGCATCAGGTCTCCGTCGTCCTCGCTTGTCCCCTCTGGTGCTGTAGGCATTCTCGCGATTTTCTGCCAGGAGGGAACTCCCAATTCTTCCCGTAGCTCAGCTTCAGTGCGCTGGTACGCTTCCCTCGGTTCTCTCCGCACGAAGCGTACCGGCAGTGTGCCGATGGGGCCATTGTCCTCCCAGTAGTGCACACGATACTGCACCTTCTCTTCCCACATGCAGATTGTTGAGCCGATGCCGAAGAGGTACTCCACCCCTATAAGCAGATCGAAGTCCAAAGACTCTGACACTCCGCAATGTGTTATAGTCACAACAGGCTTGAATGTGCCTAAAACGAAAGATAGAGAGCACAGACGGATTTCTGCACAGCGGCTTCAAACGTTGATAGCGTTCTGCTCACAGCTGCAAATGACTTGATTCAAATTGGATCTGGAGCTTCTTCACGTCGTCTACAATTAGCAATTTAGATTGCACGATTTGATAAAGAATTGACGACACAGCGTCGGTTTGAACGAACGGTACTATGGCAGCCACTATAGTCTTAGAACACAAGATAGGAAGAGTTACGAGTTAGGAATGACTCCCAGCTCCTACAAACCCCAAGAGCCGAGGTACAGTGATGTGGAACAGTGCCACACTGTCCCCAACCACGAAGGGTCTCGAAACTACCCTTCACTAGGGCCTACACCAAGTGAAATGTTACACTACACAAAGTAATGTAACTATCTTCAATATCTTGAGGTGTACCCTTTTGGCGAGCTTCGAAATCACTTGAGGCTTGACACCAAGGCTCGGGCTCTTCATCACAAACTCATCCTTGAGTTCTTGATGGGTCTGCTGCACACACCTGCGACACGCCGAACGTTCGACACAGGACAAAATAGAAACCGCGCACGACAAAATAGAAACCGCGCGCGAGACACAAACGACCGCGTAACACGCGTCTAGCGATAACTCGCTATTGACTCGACACACACACGCGACATCATGACTCAACATTCACACACAATTATAAGCATGAAATATACATTATCCCATGCCCTCATACCATTCCGTACACACACACATTCACGCACACGGACAACAAGCCGAGTGCAAACCGTAGGGTTGCACCAACACAATGTACCCTTAGCGTGCACTCTTCTAGTGTACCTGGATTCAACACTAGGGCCATGGACTGCTGAGTTTTCGGCATCCACTTTGCCTCCCCTCCATCCGCCGTCATGAGCAAATAGCCTTCCGGTATCAGCCGCTCAGCCTTGTCCAACTGAAGCTTCTCCGCCAGTTGCTTGCCATTTAGTACGTGTGCTGCTCCCGTGTCCACAATGGCTCTCTGGGCTCGCAGTCCACCAATCGTGATTGCCCCTGTCTCGATCGTCAGCACCGTGGCCTGGCAGATCATGCGGTCGCGCGGATGTCGAAACGCCGCTCCTTCTCTGTCCTCGCTTGCGCTTGCCCGCCTCCTCGGGCCATCCTCCCGCCTTTCGTCCTCTCTGAAGAGCTGCCTGCGCGCGCCGCTCCTCAAGCCTAGCTCCTCTCGCTCCCGCGCCGGCTGCGCCATCAACATGAACTCCGGCTCTTTCGTATCCTCCTCTTCATGTGCCACCATTGCTGGCTGCTTCTCCTCCGCTGCTTCCAGTTCTGCTAGTTGCGCTCGCAGTCGTGCCATGGTGGCTTGCCGATCTTCGCCTCCCTCCGCTCCTCGCCTGTCCCTGTGGTTTGCGTAGCAGTCTGCTTCCCGATGCCCCTTTCTTCCACAGCGTGTGCATACTGGTGCCCCCGGACAGTCCCGGCGCATGTGCTCGCGGCTCCCGCAGAGCGAGCATGCTGCTGGGTTCCGGCAATCCCTGCGCAAATGCCCTGGTTGCCCGCATTTGTGGCAGCGTCGGGTCTCCTCCCTTCCTCTTTCCTCCATCTCATGATGCGCGGATGCGGCTGCCCATGCCGGTCGTCTCCTCTCAGGTCCCCGATCCACCGTTCTTTCCACCTCATAAAGCCTGCGTCCCGTCTCTACGCGTTTGACGATTTCGTATGCTTCTTTCAGCGTCGCCTCCGCGCCCAACTCAAACACCCGCACCTCAAACTCAGCAACCCCAAGCTTAGCACCCCCAGGCTCCGCACCCTCAGACTCAGCAACCCCAAGCTCAGCACCCACAGGCTCCGCACGCTGAAGCTCAGTACCCCCAGGCTCCGCACACTCAGGCCCAGCACCCCCATGCCCTGCACCCGCAGGCTCAGCACCCCCAGACGCAGCACCTCTAACAGCACCAGAGTTGACAGCTACCTCGACAGTCTCGACAGGGTCTACCTGGGACACACCTGAGGGAGCAGGACCTTGAGGTGGGAGGGGGTCTACCGGAGGAGGACCTGGTGCGAGGAAGAGCGACAGGGGAGGGAGAGGGGCAGTGCGGTAGGGGAACAGACGGTAAAAGGGAACCGACTCGTCAAACGTGACGTCCTGAGAGGGCAGGACACGGTGCAAGGTGGGGTGGTAAAACTGCCAGCCAAGCGCGTCAGGGGGGAAGCCAAGGAAGACACAGGGAACGACGCGGGAGGAGAGCTTGTCCGCGGAAGTATCGCGAACAAAGGCCCGACATCCCCAGACCCGGAACACCGACGCATCGCCAACCTCTCCCGTCCAACGCATTGTCGGCGAGGTCTCTGGCAAGGAGACACGGGGCCAGAGGTCGAGCTGATGCGCAGGAATCAGACCGCAAACAGCCACAGAAAATGGGGGGCAGCCGCATGGATCATGGAGGTACGAGCGACCTCCATGACTAAGCCAATGCGGCGCTCAGCAACCCCATTCTGCTGCGGAGAGGCCGGAAGCGTGAACGTCTGGCGAATACCCTCCCCACCACAAAAGTCCCGCAAGAGGTCAGAGAAAAAATCACCACCTCTGTCAGAGTGCAGATGAAGGACGGGAAGGTCCGTCTCGAACCGCTCGCGGAGCTGGAGACGTACTGCGCGGATCCAAGGGATCAAAACATTAGGGAGCTCCCCCTTGCGGCGCAAGGGGAAGACCGTGGTGTAACGCGTGTAGTCCTCGACAACCAGCAAAGAGTACCGCTCGTGGCCCTGTCCACGGACGCGGGCCGGGCCCCAGACGTCCAGGTGGAGAGTCTGCAGGGGAGCAGTCGTCAGGGGGAACGAGGAGGAGTGAGGAGCGGCGCACTGCCGCCCCTCGATACAGGGAAGGCAGGGAGGGGCAGGCGAGGGTGGGAGGGGAGGCAGAGACCTGGGAAGACCAGAGACAATGAGACGGGAGTGCATGCCACGGAGGCGTGCTACTGAGGGGTGACCAAGTCGGTGGTGCCAAAGGAGTGTCTGGTGCGACAGGGCGCGACACGAGCAAGAAGCTGACCTGACGCAGACGCAGACGCAGCTACCTGAAGAGGCGCAGCAATCAGTGTGTACAGACTCGACCCAGGCCGACGGGTGAACGTGGCCAGGTGCCTGCCAGTCCGGGAGCACGTACAGATTGCCACACGCTGTCCTCCAAGGATGAAGGTATCAACCCACTGATCCTGAAGAACGGCGTTGCTCATCAAGTTCATAGAGAACGAGGGGAGGTGGAGACCTGACAGTGATCCAAACGGAACCGCTGGACAAGGCAGAACAGTGGAGGAACGTGCAAGGAATGGACCCTCGGAGGGGTCAGCCAGAGAGACAGCAACAGGTGCAGAGAGCGGTGTGACTGTGGTACTATCGCGAATGAAACAGTGGGAAGCACCTGAGTCAAGCGTGAAGGTGTGCAGGGCCGCAGCAGACTCAGTACCAGAGAGAGCAGACTCACCAGCAACTAGAGCAGCAAACTCACTAGCACCTAGAGCAGCAGCCTCTATACCTGGGTCTGGCGGCATACACAGGTAACAGTCACCCTCAGCACTAACAGTCAATGCATACATGGCAGAAAGGATAGCATCATAATCAAGAGCAAAGATGTCTACACCCTGCTTAAGCAGCTCTGCCCAGCGGGGGAGCTCAGCCGCGTCGGGAAACTCCGTGCAGAAGGCGTCGGTAATACGAGAGAAGCAGCGGTACTGGGTGCGGAGCCTTCTGCATGTCTGACCAGTGCGGTCACCTGTGCGAATGACATACGTGCAGGGACCACTACCCCCAGCAGCCCCACGCTGAGCAAAACCACTCACGTAGCTCCTGGGGCGAAAGCTGACGCTGCTGCTGCTGCCTGTGACCACCGCCAAGGCCTCCCTTCTGACTGGTACCACCCCGGCCGCCACCACTGCCGCCGCCTCCACTCCCACTGCTGCCACCACTGCCGCTGCCACTACCGCCACTGCCGCCACCACCGCCTCCACCTACACCTCCACCCCCACCACCACTCCCACCGCCACCACCACCCCCTCCACCGCCTCCA